AAGCTTTCCATCTTTAAAACAAACCTCTAAACTTCCATTTCCATCGAGCCAAATGTGAGAAACAACCTTGCAAAGTAAGCTTCCTAAAACCGAATAAACACTTAACCAAATTTGAGGGTTCTTGTTAGTTGGTGAGATTGCTTCTCGATCAAGCAATAAAAACTTGTAGAATGTACCAATTGGGATCATATCAGGCCCCCCTTCTTCAATAAGCTTCGCCCACAAAGCTGTGGCCTTCCTCTGGTGGAACCTGGCACAAAATTGATCCGAAATTGGATCGAAAGAAGGCGCTTTGAACTCGAATTTCTGCAGAATTAGGTTAGTGTTCATCATTGTGTGATTTGGGGCTTTCGAATTGAAGTATCCCCAATCCAATTCACTGATTCCATGAGTTCCGATCAAAAGAGCCCCCGGTTAAGAGTTTCAAATTACCAGACCGGGTATTTCCACGTTTGTGCAGAAGCGACCCGGAGGGTTTTGAAAATCCCTGGTCACCAAGTATAATTACTGACCGAGTAATATGACTGGGAAGTTCCATAAGCGGGTACAAAAGCCTGTTTTGTGCATCTTTTGAGGGGAGGAGCTAGGTTTTGGATCCCAAACACCCAAGGGATGAACCAAAGAGAGAGAGCGATCTAGAACCATTCTTGGAGATATTTTGGAGGATTCTTCACCATTGAAGCTCCAGGAACAAGCCTAGACATGAAGATTGATGATCTAGAAAGTTATGTTGCAATCTCTCTCTTCTCTATAGAGTTAGTTCCCTTCTCTTAGGTTTTGAAGAACCCGAGTTCCATGTGTTAGGATCTTTCTTGTTTGAAACTTTGGATGTTATACTGAATGGTTTTAATCAATTGAGGCATGACTGCCGAGTCAATTGAATCCTGATAAGTTTCCTTTGATTTTTGCTTTAACCTATGATAAATAGAATTTGATTGGTTTAAGAGAGCTTTCTCAATTGGTAGTAGGGAATTAATTGTATGAGATTCATTCAATTCACTGCTTTGTGATGGAATTCATTCCAGTAATGGAGATCTTCGTGTATTGCCTTAGCTTTCTACTCGGGTGGAGGTTAGTCGCCCGCCGGGTATTCTCTCTAAGAGGGCCTTGTCAGCTTAAGAGATTCCAAGCTATTGTCAAATCTTCTGTAGTTTAATCAACAGTTAAACAACCAAAGGGAATTACAACTTGGAGCTAATTTAGAAGATAGGGGGAATAATACCTAAGTGAGTTCCCAACCTGTAAGGCTGTAATTAGTAGTCTAACCTAGTTTAGCTTGTAGAGTAGTTTAGTTGATCAAACCTCAATCTGATTTTCTATATAATGAATTGAAGCTGAGTAATAGTACATCTAGAGACCTGAGGATTCGATATTTATTACTTGCACCACTATACTGTAATCCCTTTCATTTGTTACACTTGGCCATTGTTAGGAGTTGTGATTTAGCGAGTCACGTAAGTCTAATAAAGGCTCATTGATAAAATAATTATGATTTATATAAGAAATACTAGAGAAAGGACTACATATTATTTGATTGAAGGGGAAAATTTATCAAGAATGAGAGTGAAAAACATTGTAAACAAAGTGTTATAAGAAATAATCCACACTTGAACTTTGTTTGTCCACAAGCACACAAAGTTAAGCAACTGATTCGGGCCTAATTGCAAATATTTAGCCCCCGGTTTGCTTAGATGTTTGGGCCAAATTTGCTCATTAGAGGTTGGTTTTACGCGAGGTTCTGTGTGTTTGAGTGCTTTTCAGGATTTAACAGGTGGAACCATCCTCGGAGTTGAAGGATTGGCGAAAAGGATCGAAAACGGGAAGAAGAGGTGAAAAAATGCAAGTTCACAGCTAAAGGCGGGAGTTCACGGTCGTGCAAGACTGTGAAGAAGGGGAGTTGACCGTGAAGCGCAAGGCGTCCAGAACCAACTTGAAGGTTACTAACGCAAGGCAGGTTCACGGTCACTAAGACCGTGAAGACAAGCAGTTGCCCATGAACAGTCGTGATCGATGCGGGGCGTTTTGGCCCAAGACGTGAGTTCACGGATGCGTTTGAGATTTCACGGCCGTGAACTCAGGCAGTGAACTCAGGCCCCTCTCGTGTTTAATCTTGTGTGGATGTGATTAATCTTGTTTTTAGCTCCTTTTTCGTGGATGTTTCTCAAGGATCGAACCAACCTACCCTATCCTTCCACCCTACCATCTCTCCAACTTCGTCTAATCCGTAACTTCGTTCCGCTACTCTTTACGCGTACTCACATTGAGGACAATGTGTTCCTTAAATTAAGTGTGGGTAGTTGTGCATAAATGCTTGTGTGGAATGTTATTATCGATTCTACTCTCTTATGCTATAAATGTTTAAATCATTTATCGAGAGAGAGTGTGCTTTAGAGTGATTGTGGACAATGATTTAGCATAATTCAACCACTTGGAGCCTTGTATTAATAAATGTTTAAATTCTTTATCGAGAGAGAGTGTGCTTTAGAGTGATTGTGGACAATGATTTAGCATACCCAAATGTTTTTCAAATTTGAGGGCTCCAAGTTGGCCCCTTTTGCATTCTCCCTACTCAGTATGCTTTGAATTAATAGATGATTAATGTGTTGTGCTCGCTAGGGAGTAGTTGCATGATTAGAGTGGTGTATGAGGGATATTACTACCTTCTTCCTCTTTGGTGAGTTGATAATGTCTGTTGTTTTAAGAAGAACATGTGTGGGACTCTCCACCACTTTTGAACTCGAAATCTTTGCAATTATGTGCTTAACTTGTCAGAAAAATAAACAAAGAGATCCCCACGTGAGAGGAAACCGAGCATAGTGTTTGAGTTAAGCCGTCAAAGGGCTTTTCTATTGGCTCGGAGTGCCCTTTGAGGATGTGTTTGGGGACCAGATAGTTTTATTGTGTCCCAATCATCTTTCACTACTCAAGCTCTCATCTTCACGAAATTGTATTGCAAGGTACAAAGTACCTTTTAGCGATTCAAGAGACCTCAAGCTCTTGTTTGTACCCAACATGTGTGGCAACCAATCTGGAGTGCAGGCTGGGAAGTGGTGCTCGGGCTAAGACAAATTCGCCCATGAACTTCCCCACATGCAACCTTGATAGGGAAGGCAATGATCCATCCGCTCTTGGTCGTGAGGGAGAGATGCTTGTTTGCAAGAAAATTTGCAAAAGATTTGTGCAATGCGCTTCAATGTTGAAAAAGGAGACCACAAATGACAACTCCTACGTTGAAAGAAAGAATAAAGAGCACCATCTAGAGTTCCTATGCTTAATGGTTGTGAGAAGTCCCTCGGTGCACACCTTGTATGTTCTTCCTAAGGTAGTAAGTATGGTCTTCACCATGTTATGTAATGAAGAACTAGAGTGCATCTCCCATTGTTTTGTCTATTAAGTTGCATTGGTTTGAGTAGATTTGCTTGGGGACAAGCAAACGGCTAAGTGTGGGAGAGTTTGATAACACCTAAAATAGGCGTTATTTAGCCCTTATTCTTTAAGCATTTTCATGTTAAATAATCGTGTCTAGGACACATACCAAGTTATTTATGCCTATTTTCGTTCATATTTGCAAAACATCCATTTTGGCATAGGTATTCTTGATATGACTGTTTTGATAGGGGGGAACCGACCCCATTTTATCGTATTTTATGCTTTCCCAAGTGTTTGTGATTAAATTCTTGGTCTTATATGCATTTGTCATTGATCAGGAATCGATTGGACTTCATCCGAGCACGATTGGAAAGTATAGGAGCAAGAAGGTGAGATGAGGCATTAGTCACAGCCACACGTCAAGGTCGTGACCTTCAACCCATGACCATGTTTCAGACTAAACATTGCAGCCGTGAACAGTAGCCACAAACTTCAGCAGACGACCAAAAAGAAGGCAGAAAGTTTCCCCAGTCGAATTGCGGATATGGTGCATTCTGACGGGACTAGTTAGTATAAAAATACTCATTTTGTTGTTAGGGTGACAACACTAGTCTTCAACCAATAGGAAGCTAGGGATGTGATGACTTTTTATTAGTTGGGTTGAACTAGTGTAAAATCAAAGCAGGGGTATAATTGTCATTATGAAAATTATGTTTAAATAATAATAAATAAATAAAATATTTAAATTTTTTTTTTATTTTCTGCCCTAAATTTCGTCGCCGGAATATGCCCACCGTCGCCGGTATCCAATAACTGTGGTTGGAATATGCTTATCAGAGTCGGAATCTACTCATCGGGGCCGGAATATGCTTATCGGTGCCGGAATCTGGTCACCCACGGTCATCGGAGTTTGGTCAACGATTTTCGTTGACCGGTCAACGACCACTGGATATTATGGTCTGCATTGTGAGATTTATGGTTTGGTTTCTCGTGTTTTTTGTATGATATTTGTGGTTTGTTTTATTGTGTTACTGGTTTGCATTAAGAAGTTTCTGGTATGCTTTCAAAATTTTGTGGTTTGCTTTGCGGAGTTTCTAATTTGTTTTAATATATTTGTGGTTTGCATTAGGACATTTCTGGTTTACTTTTTGTTTTATGGTGTTTGCGGTTTGCATTATGAGGTTTTTGGTGTACTTATGAAATATTGTGTGGTTTGTTTTGTGAGGTTTCAGGAATGTTTTAGGAGATTTGTGGCCTGCATTAGGATGTTTCTGGTACGCATTTTGTAGTTTGCTTTATCGTGTTTGTGGTATGCAATATGAGGTTTCTAGTGTGCTTATGAAATAATTGTGGTTTGCTTTATGGGGTTTCCGGTCTGTTTTAGGCAATTTGTGATATGCATTAAGAGATTTCTGGTATGCTTTTTGTTATTTGTTTTACCGTGTTTGTGATATGCATATGGTATGTTTTGTGCGGTTTCATATCTTACTTGAGGAGATTTGTGATTGGGTCAGTTCTCGTGGCCGTAATAGACCAATTAGCTACGTAATCCAAACCCAATATTAAAGCATCAAGCAACAGAGAAGCAGTACAAATTACCACAAATAACCGCAAAACGGAGAAATAAGAAAATGTACTGTAGCTTTCTCTCTATACTCTCTTCTCCTTTCTTCTCACCAGCTGCCGCTTTCGGAGCATTCAATATTCAGCGCGTTGACAAACGCATATCAAACAAGGAAATCGATGCAGATCGACGAGGTCAGAAGTTGGGCAAGAGGATCAAGGAAGATCAGGGGAGCATTTATGGTAGAAGTAAATCCAGGGCAGGGTTACCCCTCACTGCCGCTATTAATTGCAAAAGGAGGCATGCCAGCTTCATACTGTGCCTGATCAAATATGTCCAATTGCAGCCAAAGCCACCTGATCAGCCTCCCAGTAATGAATTAGGAGGAGGGAGAGGAACCCTGGAGACACCAGATAGGAAGAGAGTTAAGGAGAAGTGGGGAGAGGGAATACATAAAGGCCATAAATAGGAGGCGCAGCAGAAAGGAGATCCAAGCATTAACTCCTCACAAAGAGCTCACCTGAAGAAGATCTGGGAGATGGATTTGCCAATCATTACCGCTAAGCCTACCTACACCCTATCAACCAGGCACGAGGCTCCGAAGATCAATGAGAAGAAGGAGGCTCAACAAACCAGGACAGAGCAGCGGGGCACGTGCCTGGGAATAACTACAACTAGTAAGAGGAAACCACTTGGGCAGAGGAGCACCTCCCATAAATGGCAATTAATAGGTAAACAGGAGAAGATCCAAAAAGAGAGAGGAGACTCTCAACTACCGTATTTATTATCGGAGGCAGTAATGACTGATAAGGGGTGGGACGATCAAGAAAGGCAGGTCGAGGGACACTATAAAAGGAGCAAGCAACATGCAAGATCGGATCAACTTACCCCAAAGTACAACAAGAGCAAATCCAAAGATCCAGAAGAAACTCAAGTGGACCCAAAGAGCAACTGCGCTTACCCATCTCCTAGCCCTTCCAGCAACCCAAAAATGGAACTGAATGCATCGAGTTCAAGAGGAATGAAGAGCCACCTGGTCCTTAATGTCAGGCCAAGAGTGGTGGGCGCCAGAGACAGTGGCATCCCCATGCTTCTCTGCAGATGGATTACGGATACAAGCATCAATCTACACAAGGCCAAAAACACAGCATCCTACAAGTGGAGGGCCTATGGAGAAGTCCAAGCTACCAAAGAGGCGAACAACCTTTTTGTTTACTCCTTTCCAACAATGAAGTAGAGGGATGCTGTTTGGGAGGCAAGGCCGTGGCTGCTGGGCAATACCATGAGTGCCATGAGGAATTGGGATAGCGAACAGAAGGCTGAATTGGAAGATATCAACACAATCACTCTTTGGGTGAAGAATCCATTCAAGCAGTGTTCGAATTCATATTCCCTCGGTACCATGGAATTGACAACTCCAATTTCGAGTTCATAGGATGGCTGAAGTTCGTTAGAGTGAAAGTGGAAGTCCAACTGGATAAGCCTGTCCCGATCGGCTTTGAGTGCCCATTGGGAGAAATATCAACCTGGGTTAGCTTCAAGTATGAGAGAATCACTGACCTGTGTTAATTTTGTGGCCGATTGGGCCATCTTATCCAAAATTTCCTTGAACGAGAAGATCACCGAAGAAGGGGACTATGCACAGATCCCTCGGAAGTCTACACGGCGGCGCTCAAAGCTGGTCACGACTCACCGGAAAATATCCCACCAGCGTCGTTCCGGAAGAAACAGGAAACACTCAGGCAGAACACACAGATCGAGCAACAGTCCCGCAACAAGCAGTATCCCGAGGAGAATCGTCCTTATTGACACTCGTGGGCCATCCAGTCCAGACCCATGTCTTTTGCCCACCTGGCTTCATGGCCCTGCCGATGGAGAACCCAGGAACCATCAAAGGGGGAGAATGGATGCTTAGAGGAGAGGGGAGCTGCCCCACCAACTTTTCACAAGTACCGATGCTAGACGTGGAGCTGGCGGCAGCAGCAATGTAGAAAGGCTTGGATCTGTCGGGCAGGAAGGAGACAAGGGAGAAGCAGGCGGGGCCAAGCCCAAGGCTTCGAAGAACAGGTACCAGAAGGGGAGGCCCAAATGGCCCAGTTTATTCATCAACAGCTTGTCGGGGTTCTAAACCAAATGACCCAACTCACACAACAGCCTCCAGGCCTACAGAACCCAATTGTAGCAGAGGAGTTTGCAAACAGACCAGAGAAGAAGAGGAAACCAGATCACCGAACCAACCAATCCGAATCAGCCCCAATGCAAAATTTGGCTAACAATTTGTCCGTTGCCTCTTTATCCTTTACTACAGGGGGAGATATCAGGAGGTATGCAAGGAAGAAACACACAATTAAGAAGAGGAGCATCAGGGAGATCAATGAGGACGGGAACCAATCAGGCGAGGGAGAATCCAATTTCACGATGGCGACGGCGGCAGGCCACAAGCCGCCTTCCCAACCATGGAATTTGGCCCCTCAGTGGTGTTCCTCATGGAAACCTGGAAAGATGACTAGTTCATGGAAGGGAAGAGGAGGACACTGAGGATGGACCACTCGAAATACGTCAGCCCGTCAGTAGAAGGTAGTGGCTTAGCGCTATGGTGGAAAGAAGGAGTGGATTTATGTGTTCTTGATGTCTGTAAGTCCTACATGGACACTAGGATCAGTAGGGATGGAGTTACTTTCTTTTATACCTTTATCCATGCTCCAACCACGACGGTGGAGAGGAGATGCCTCTGGGATCGACTTACGAACCTAAGAGAAGCACAGGATGAAAAGTGGCTTATTTTGGGTGACTTGAATGTTGCTCTATTTCCGTTTGAGAAGCAGGGGCGCTGCCCCCTTAGAAATGAAAATGTGGCTCCTTTTAAGTACTTTATTGAACAGAATGCACTAATGGATTTGGGTTTCTCGAGTCAGCCTTTCACTTGGACGAACAAGCAGTAGGGCAACAACCTTATCAGAGATAGGCTTGATCGAGCACTCTGCTCGCCCTCGTGGCGGATGAGTTTTGAGTCGGTTTTTCATGAAGATTTTGTCGAATCGGATCACTGCCCCATGAGACTCAATCTTCATCCAAAGCATCAAGCTAGACATACCCCGTTCAGATTCGATAAGAGATGGAGGGATAATAAAGAATGCTGTCACATTATTACCAACAGATGGGGTAGAGGGGGGCAGGTCAGTGAGAAATTGAAAGATTGCTAGAAGGATCTTCAGAATTGGGCAAGAATTGACCACAAAAACAAAATCAGAAGAGAATAAGAAATTAAAGCAAGACTCCAAGTCTTACAAGGCCCAAACAAGACCAACGAGATGATCAACGAAGAAAAGAATCTAAATCTGGAGCTTTCTATGATCTGGAACACTGAGGAGGAATTCTGGGCACAAACTTCACGGAACTGATGGCTGCAGGAAGGTGATCAAAACACAGGGTTTTTCCACGCCAGCACCATCAAAAGGAGGAATAGGAACAAGATCCTCAAACTGAAGAACTCCGAAGGAATCTGGCTGGAGGAAAAACTGGAACTGGACACTCATGTCAATGACTTCTATCGTGACCTGTTCACTAGCAAGGGAGGGCTCTTCGACCACTCTCTCTTGACTGGCTTCCCATAGTTGGTGAACAATCAGGCGAATGAAGCACTTACAGCTGAGATTGAGGCCATCAGGATTCGAAAGGCGGTGTTCCAGCTGGGAGCTAACAAAGCCCCTGGACCTGATGGTTTCCAGGGCTTCTTCTTTAGGAAATTCTGGAGCCTGATCAGGGACCAATTCTGTGAAGAGATCACCTACTTCTTCAGGACCAGAGTGATGCCGGAGTCGTGGAATGATACTTTTATTACCATTATCCCAAAAGTGGAGACCCCAGAGACGATTAACCAATTTCTGCCAATCAGCTGCTGCAATTTCACGTACAAAGTCATAACAAAAATCATTACAAACAGACTGCAAAAATGGCTACTGGGTCTGGTGAACGAGCTCCAGTCGGCCTTTACAGGAGGGAGGCAAATCCAAAACAACATTATCATCGTCCATGAAGTTCTTAACCATTTCAAGAAAAACCGAACTGGCGGTCGTAAAGAGATGATGAAGCTGGATATGCGAAAAGCCTATGACCTACTCGAATGGGACTTTCTCCTGGAGCTATTAAGAGCATATGGTTTCAATGATGTTTGGTGCACCTGGGTTAAAGCCTGTATCACAACGGTCAAGTTCAGACTCCTCTTGAACGGTGAACCTTCATTTGAATTCATCTCATCTCGAGGACTGAGACAAGGAGACCCACTGTCTCCTCTTTTGTTTATCGTCATGTCCAATGCCCTCTCCTTCCTCATTGAAAAAGCAGTGCAAAATCAGGAGATCAGAGGACTCAAGCTGAACAGATTCTGCCCACTGCTGACCCACTGCCTTTTTGCGGATGATATTGTGATTTTCGGAGATGCTTCAAGCCTGGAAGCACAGAGTATTTTGAAGATTCTGGACTCGTATGGAACAATCACGGGACAGGAGGTTAACCGGGAAAAGTCTTCAGCCTTCTTCAGCCAGAATGTGACTGAAGATGAGAAGGGAAGTATTATCCAGTTATTGGGTTCGATTGTTCCAGTGCTCACTCGAAATATCTGGGAGTGCCCACAGAATGGGGCAGATCCAAGAAAGAAACATTCCAGTTCTTTATCCAAAGACTGGAGAAACAAGAAGAAGCGTGTAAAAGCCTGATGCTGTCTCCAGGGGGAAAGGAAACTCTTCTCAAAGCAGTTTTCCAGGCTGTTCCATCATACATCATGTTCCTCTTCCTCCTTCCTCGTACAATGACAAACAGAATGGATGCAATGCTCAAAAGATTTTTCTGGAGTGGGTCTACCTCCAAAAGATCCATACACTGGAAGGCAGGAAGAGTTCTGTACGCCCATAAATCGGAAGGAGGATTAGGGTTCCGAACATTCCATATCTTTAACCTTGTCTTGCTTTCTAAACAAGCATGGCGCATCCTTACGAACCCAGATGCCCTGTGGGTCAGAGTGTTGAAGGCCCTCTACTTTCCTCGGGTGGACTTCACCAAGGCTAAGAAAGGCAGCAAGCCCTCATGGATTTGGTCAAGTATCTGGGAGGCAAGGAAGTGGATGGAAAAAGGCATTATCAAGGTCATTGGTAGTGGGAGAGATACCAGATTCCTCCATGATCCTTGGCTATTTGTTCGAGCGGGCCCCTTGAGACAAGATAGCAATGACGACTCCTCTGCTGTCGCGTATTACATTGACCCCATTTCCCGGGAGTGGAGATTTGATATTCTTGAGGAGTTCCTCTACCAATCGGAGATCAAGATGTGGCGAACACACCTGTTGGCCCCATATCCATGAGGGACTGCTGGGCATGGAGATTTGACGAAAAGGGCATGTTCACGGTCAAGTCAGCTTTCCAGATGTTCCACCACCAATGGCGGAGGGATTGAGGAGAAGAGCTTTATCTCAATGATACAAGCGAAGAGAGATGGAAATGGCTCTGGAGGCTTCACCTGCCCCCGAAAATGAAGTTCTTCATCTGGCGTGCATCGAGAGGAGCTTTGGCTACTCGACACAACCTTCATGCCCGACACTGCTCCCCATCCTCGACATGCCCGGTGTGTGACGGAACGACAGAGACTATTCACCACTGTCTTTCCGCTGCCCACACGCGGCGAATGGATGGAATCTTCTCTTCCCGGAGCTCGCTACCCCTCCTCTCACCAATGTGTTGGACTAGCTTTTCTCTCTGACGAACACCGGGACGATCGAGCTTGTTCAGAACTGCATTTACTTGCTGTGGCATACATGGATGTCGAGGAATGAAAAGGTATTCAGGGAGAAACCCCCGGGGCCTTTCGCAACGACTTCACGCGCAATGGAGGAGGCTCAGCGATGGAGATCATGCCCCAAGAAAAAACCTGCCTCTACTCAACCTCAGCCTATCCCACCCCCTGAGCCAGCTTTACCACCACCAAGTACCCATTCTTTTGAAGTACAATGTGATGGATCGTTTCTTCATGATTCCCAGGAAGCGGCATATGGCGTCGTTATTATGAACGACCATGGTCAAGTTGTTGATGGGAAGGCTGAGCCCCTGCACTGCTTCTCTCCGATTCAGGCGGAAGCAAAAGCTCTTCTAGAAGGGACCTTGGCTGCTATGGAGCTTAATGCCCCATGCCGGGTGCGTTCGGACTGCCTGGTTTTGGTGAAGGATCTCCAAGGATTTCCGAGGCTCTGTCATGGCGGGCCGCAGCCAGCCTGGGAAGAATCCTGAGTCTTACCAGAGTCTGCCCCAACATCAGAATTGATTGGATTAATAGGAAGCAGAACTCCAAAGATGACTAGGTGGCCAGATCTTGCGCAAGGAACCAGCTACCCTCGGAATGGATTCATATTCTTGATGTTGTGTCTCCCCTTCTGTAACTTTGTTTCTACCTGATTTGGAATGAAAAGTTTGTGCCCCTTGTATAAAAAAAAAATAGAGAAGCAGTACGAAAGCAGCAGCAGGTGAAGAAACAGAAAGTTACATAAATGTCACTACCCATCTTTTAAAACGAAAATAACAAAACCAAGTTTCAAAGGAGAAGAAAGAAACCAGAAAACGGTCATTCCCTGATTGTTCCTCTTATTAACTAGAACATCTTCAACATTCTGCATCGAAATTGGATCCAAAGCGCTTGTGGGATCGTCGAAAAGCAGCAGCTCTGCATCGTTGGCCAGAGTCCTTGCCAGAGAAACCCTCTGCGCCTGCCCGTGGAAGAGCTTGCTCCCGCTCTTCCTGTAGGAGGGGTGTAGATCCGCCATGGAAAGACGTTTGTGGACCTGCTTGTCCAACGAATTTTCCCCTCTCAGTGTTGCTGGAAGACGATTCCGCAGCATCCATCGGGTAAGCTTCCAGGGCAAGACGATTCCAAACCTGGCAGCCCGCCGCCTCTGATGGCCCAGAAAACATTTTCTCCCCTGAAATTTCTCATCAAGATCCTCACGTCTCCTTCGATTTCCAACAACAGCGCAAAATCTCCACGTCGATTCACGCTACAGTACTGCCCTCGCATGACAAGACTCTATTATAGCAATTTCCGCCTATCCAGTCTTTGTTCTTGTCAGTCCAATCATCATCGATTACACAGCCTAATTGTTGTGAATTTGAGGGGAGACAGAATTGAATCAAAGATTGTGCCTTCGAAATCGATTGATTGTTGTCGGCGCCAGAAAGAGGATGATACGTCTTGGATGGATGAAGATTGAGTGGTGGCAGAAGAGAATTGAACTCCCGGAAGAGGAATTGAGCGGCGTTGGAGGAGAGACTGTGGGGAAGGGTGAAGAAATTGATATACGAGTTACAGGATCGGACAAGAAGAAGGGTGGGTGGGCTAAATATATTTTAATTTCAATTTTATTAGATTTTAGGTAAGTTTACCCTTATACCCTTAATGAATCATGTTGTTAGTATAACAACAGTAAGTATGTTGTTATACTATCTGCAATCCATTTTGACCGCGAAAAAGATCGCGCTCGGGACACAAAGATCACGGCTACAATCTTATGAAGAAGGCCACGATCTCGGAGTTTAAAATGGAATAAGAAAGTGTCGTTTCTGGCGATTCGGGGACGTTCCAGTTGGTCACTCTGTGGCCATCGCGTCACGCCCTTGAGGCCTTGACCGCCATCAGCTTTTTAGAAATACCCCTCTTGGTGCACTTTTCAAGGGAGAGCCGCACTAGAGTGAGAAAGTTAGGGGTTTTGGGTTGTTTTTAGAGAGGGAAACACCTTAGAAACCCCTATCTTCTAGTTTGTGTTTTCTTTCTCTCTCTATGACTTGAATCTCTAATGTTGTTTAGGAAATATGAACTCTAGTTTATAGGTTGTGAATGAATGGGTTATGTTTGAATGTGTTTATCTAGTTGATTTCATTGCTTCTCTAGCTTTAATTGTGTTTGGGTAAGTCGCCCTAATCTTCTCTACTAGTCTACTTGACCTTCTACACTGGGTATGGAGTTTTAGAGTTAGACGGGTATGTGCCATCAAGCAATTTGAGGTTAGATGTGTGAATACGATCCTATGGTGGTCAAGGCAACTGAACCCTTGCCATAGGAATGCCTTCCTAGATAGAACCGAGGATGAAACTTCAGTGTGGACGGTGGGTAGTACCTATTGAAAGAAGCTATGAGCTTAATGCCCCAGATATGATAGCCTAGATCGAGGTGACTTACATGGGTTTAGGGGAGGCGTACTCATAGGCGTGTGGATAACCGCTAAAGCCCGCAGAAAAGAACTCACTCACCACATTCGATTAACCCTACACGACAACCATATCTAGGAGTAGGAGGATTCAACTCTAGGCAACCTTCTCATCTCTAGCGTTCTCTCAACCACTTGGTTTATTATTTATTTTCCCTTTAGGAGTATATTAGATCGATTTAAACATCGAACCTTCCGGTTTTATTAGATAGTAGTTTGGAGCGAAGTAATAACAAGCGTAGGGTTCCCTTGAAATACGACTGAGCCACTTTACTACAAACCTAGCTAGGTTATGCTTGGCTTAGTTAGGATTGAATAGAGAGTGTGCATCGACTTATAAATATAAAACTCGGTCACGCAAACGATCTGTGGTTATCGATATTCTTCCTTTGCATTTTGTGAGAAAGAAATCTATCAGGATATTCTTTCTTTTAAGGAAGATGAGATAACAATCTTCTCTAATAGTAAGCCTACCAGGTATCGCAAACAAGGGTTGCGCCAATGCCATAAATCGTCTAAAACCTTCATGCTCGACATATCTAAAGGGAAACTCATCTAATATTATAATCTCAGCTAGACCAATTGACACGCTAAAACACAACACCAAACTGCGACCAAGTGTAATCGCAGTCTGGGAATGCAGTAAAGTGGCAAGTTCTAATTATCAACCCGGGTCTAGATCTACTGCCTACTCCGTGAATATCTATTATCTAGCCAACTAAGTCGATGAATTGTGGTTTTAATTAAAAGCAGTAAGAAAGCAGGAAAAGATTCGGTTTTCTAAAGCAAAGGAAGAGTCACTCGGGAATGAGTCCCCCTAGCTCCTTAGTTAGGTCTCAGTTGCAATTACCCTGGGTTGATTTACTGTTCATTAAACTGCGGAAGATCTGACAGTAGCTTGGAATCTCTTAAGCTGACCAAGCCCTCTCAATCCAACTACCCGGCAGACGACTAGTCTTCACAGGGATAGAAAGCTAAAGCAATAAGCACAGAACTCCACTACTGGAATTGGGTTCCAGTACAAAGCAGTAGATTGATTAACTCTCGTATAACCAATCTACCACTACCGAATGATGAAGCTCTAACAACCTAATCAGATTCTATATATCTCAAGTTGCAGCAGAAATCAAGAAAAGATGATCAGACTTTAATTAATTCAATGAATCACGCATCATTCAATTAAAACCAAACATTATAACAATCCCAAGTCATTACAATCAAGATCCCTAACACATGGAACTAGGGTTCTTCATACCCAAGTGAGAGAAGGTTCTACTCCATAGAGAGAGAGAGGAAAACAGCAAACAAAGCAGTCATCAAGATGGGAAGAATCTGCTTTGGGATGATGATCTTCACTCCAAGGATGATTTCCAAGTTTGATTGATGAAACCCAGCTCCAAAACCACTCTTAGGGGGTGTTCTTCGCACTTTCTCTCTCTAGGGTTCTGTTTTTCTCCAAAAAGTCGATTTCCCCTCCTTTGGCTCGAAATTGGGTTAAAACCCAGAAATTCCTGACCACACGGGCAGGCCACACGGCCGTGTGGCTTTTTAGGCGTGCCCGTGTGAGTGTGCAAAACGTCGCGTTTTACTTAAGTGGCTTGAGGTACGCTACACGGCCAAAACCACACGGCCGTGTGGATTTTATTTGTGCCCGTGTGAGCTCTCTGGACTTTCCACACGGCCACAAGGGGTCCCCTACACGGCCAGTGTGGCTTGCCCGTGCAATTTGGTGTCACACGGCCAGGTCACACGACCGTGTGGGTTTTTAGGCGTGCTCGTGTGGCTTTTCCAGCTTTTCGTCAAACGCACCAACTTCGTCCAATCGACCCCGAACTCGTGCCCAAACCTTCTTTAACGTACTAGAACCTGAAATATCACAAACAAGAACAACCTAGCGTGAAATTAGACTAAAACACGAGAGATGAGACTCAAACGGTACAGGAATGGTGGATAAAAACATGTGTATATCAAGTCATCACCAATCCTACATTTAGTCTGGTCAAACTTCCATGTTGAAAGAGATCCTACCTGACCACCAGTAGTTGTAGATGTTGGTTGCAAATTCAACAAAGTTTGAGATCTCCCACTCTCCTCCTGCCTTTTCCTCGCACATGCGTGTATATCTGTATTCATTTCAGAAATCCTGCTATCTTCGCCTTGCATAATATACATTCACTAAATTGGTAGTTATCGACCATTATCGGTGTGAATACATTGAAACATTTAGCTTTCCCCTTCTTTGTTGTTGCATCATTGGTACTCCCGGCTCCATCTTCAGTTGCAAATTGATCTTCCCTGACTGCTACATTTGCATTCTCCACTCCAGTCGTGCTACAATCTCAGATCCAATGGCTACTACATTCTCAACTCCAACCGCTGCATTTGGAGTAACTCCGACTGTAGTAACTCCGGTAAAAGGAGTAGTAGGTTGCGAAGGAACACGAGGCTGAGAAGCCGGAGGAGCACCTTTTCTTGCTCCTTGTTGTCCTCTTCCACGAACACCACCACGTGGTTTCTTACCCTATCCACCTCTATCACTAAATCAGATACAAAAAACTTCAGAAATCATTCAAAAATTTAATTCATAATACAGCAGCCGACAAAAAACAAAATAAGAGCGCTTATGGAAATGGCTGTCCGACGAGGTGGCGGCGATGGCGGTTGTGCGACGAGCTGGCAACAACAAGGTGAGGAGCTGAGGAAGACAGGCGAAGACGACGACGGCTATGCAACGGGGTGACTGGGAGGCGGGAGGGCGATGTCGCCGATGAGGAAGGCTTGGTGACGACGAGGCGTAAGGACGAGGCGAGCATGTGGCGGCAACGATAGCTGGTGGCGGGGAGGGTTGGGGTTCCATTTTGGGAGGAAATCGGAGGAGGTTAGGAGGGAGCAAGTTTTTGGGAAGGAAAGAATCGCAGGGAGGGGACTGTTAGGATTGGGGTTCGATTCGCAATTTCCTTCACTCCGACCCTGACTAAACGACGTCCTCTTTGGCTTGGCATGGGATTTGGGAAGAATGGTCGCGGTTATGGCGCTTAACTTCGAGCACCGCGGTTATTCACAACTAACCGAGAATTCCCCTTCTTCGCCGGTAACTGGAAACCAAAGCCGCAAACCCCATTGTTGTTTCGATTTTTGGGCAACTGAAAAATCAAGAATATCGATTCAGCTAGCCGGTTAACCAAGAAACGGGTGACCGATTAAGAGGCCTAAGCACAACGGAACCCATCCAACTCGAGATAGCGGAATGCTGCTTTCTGGTTGCAATGTGTAGAATCTAATTATTCTTCCCTCTGCCCCCCTCTCCTTTCCAATTTTGAATTCAAATTCCCCACCCCTGTCGCCTTCCTTCTCCTCCTTCTGCATCTACCTTCCCATCAAGTTTTAATACCAGTGTTATTCTCGTTCCTCCTCTTCCAAACTTCCTCCCCAAAACCCTAATTGCCAGTATCGTACCGCCGCGTCATCCCATGACAGGTGTCGTCCCGCCGCCAAGATCCGGCCGTGACCTCTCTATTCCACCTGACGATGGGATCTCGAATTTGCATTTCTCCAACCACAGTAACCACCTCCTCGTCTCCTCCTTGGACAAGGTAACAATCTGCTTCTTATCGACTCAATTTCTTCGCTCTTTTTGGCCTTACCTAGATTGATGTCTGATTTTAGAGCGTGAGGCTGTACGATGTGAGTGCCAATGTCTTGCGAGGAGAGTTCTTCCACGGTGGAGTCGTGCTTGATTGTTGCATCCACGATGACTCCTCTGGTTTAGTGTCGGTGCTGACAATCTAGTTTGTAGGCAAGTTTCCGATTTTCTTATTGTAGAATATCAATAATACGAGAGAAACAATAGGATTTAGTGTGGTATCCTCGATCAATAGATTAATCTAGACTAATCCACAGGAGAGTGATAACACTCTCCGGCTGCAACTTTTATTGCTCAATGTCAAGTAATGGCTGAAGCCTTGGAGTTACATAAACATATATATCCTATTCTAAAATACGTCACTAGGGTTTCCATTAGGGTTTCACATGGAGTGGAGGCATCGAACGAGCCACATGCATGAGGTGCAAGGGTTGTACGTGCGGCATCAGTGCACTGAGATAAAAATGTCCGCCAGTTGAAGGTGAGAGCTAACTTTAAGAGAATGAATATCACCAGACTGAACACGCTCTCGAACAAAACAGCAATCCAATTCCACGTGTTTGGTGCGCTCATGGAGACTGGATTAGCTGCAATGTGAAGAGCAGCTTGATTATCACAATAAAGGGGAGTAGAGCGACGCTGAGGAACCTCCAACTCCGTAAGCAGCCATCGAACCCAAATAATCTCACTAACCGTGCTGGCCATGGCACGATACACTACCTCATCAGAAGAACGAGCAACTACACGTTGCTTCTTAGTGCGCCAAGAGATGGGAGCATCACCCAGACTGGCAACCACCCCAGTTAGCATCATAGTAGGCGGTGAGAGCCAGATCATTGTTCGCCGGGAAAAAGAGGCCCTGACTTGGCGTAGACTTCAGGTACCAAAGGATGCGAGTAGCAGCATTCATGTGTTCCTGTCGTTGCGCAGAAACAAACTGTATGAGGACGTTAACCCCGTAAGTGAGATCAGGGCAGATGACCATCAGATAAAGCAAACGACCAACCAAGCGACGATAGGAGGCAGCATTGGCCATAACATCACCATCAACAGTGGGGCGAGTCAAACGATGATTTTGCTCCACTAGGAATGCACTGGGACGGGCTGCCGCAATATCTGCATCAACAAGGATGTCTAAAGCATACTTTCGTGACAAAAAGCCACGCCATCCGACGTGCGAGCAAACTCCATACCAAGTAAATACCTCAACTCGACGAGATCCTTAATACCAACCTTGGGGAATCTTCATCTAAACCTGCTCCTCAAGATCACCATGGAGGAATGCATTGTTAACATCAATCTGATGGAGAAACCACCCTTAACTAACAGCAACAACGAGGAGATAGCGTATGGTGACAAGTTTAGCAACATGGGCAAATGTATCATGGAAGTCAATACCTTCAATTTGGGTGTAGCCCTTGGCAACAAGATGGGCCTTAAACCGCTCGATCGTACCATTTACAAGAAACTTGATTTTATAAATCCATTTATGGAAGATGGCGTGTAACACCCTAACCCAGCTGGGTACTACTTTTACTAAAATGCCCTTGAAAAATAAAATACTCAGATCTTAAATTGCAGCGGAAAAAATTTTCATAAATAAAATACTGAACACACACTTGTAGTTCAAAGCAAAGCCCTAACACGTGGGAAAATTAAACTCAAACTTTTAAAATCTCAATCTGATCTCCAGTATATACTCATAATCATAAAATGTAGGCTTGAACATACCTCATCCACGTCTTTTGTCTCGACCGATGCTTGTACATAGCCTTAATCTCTTAGTCATGGCTCTTCGTGGCTTAACTAAATATCACTAATTTATCCTTAACTGGCCTTCTTTTATGGAAGACATCCTACTATGTCGTACTCGCTCAGAGTAGGGCACCTTGGGTAAGGTAACTTAATGATTTCCTCCTTCTTGGTAATGCTTTTCCTTGTCATACTCCACTATGCATTTTCTTGAACACGAGTCACCTACACATATTCTCAATCCTTCATTGGAACTTCCATGTGTTTCCTCGAATTCTCTACCATTCACTAGCACATTTATTAAACATTCCACTTACTTGTCTATACTCGGTTGGCTTAATGACTTACTCTATAACTAATTCCGAGACCTCAGCTCTTAGCCCTCTAGTTCCAACTTAGTAGAGAGGTTCCTCCTTCTGTTACCCCTCATGTACCCTAGGAGGCTAGGTGTTCCCTCTATTTAAGAGAGGACAATCCCATAATAGATCATCGTGAACTCTTGCATACCCCTTCCAACGGTCCCAACATCCTCCTGACCTTATGTGACCTGGGTAGTTTGTAGGGTCTCTACTATCCTCCTTCTAACTCTGTGTTATCTTAGTATCCAACACACGCACTTCTGAGAAGTGGTTCTCTATTCGTACTGCCATCTACTAGCTAACTGTTATTCTCTCTCCCAATCCATGTCTTTTCTTATGTATTGACTCCCCACTGTCTTCTACCAGGCATGCTTTAGACTTTGCTGGCACTTTCCTCCACATCTCGTCCAATGGTGCTCGTACTTAGACCATAACTTTCCCTCTACATCATTTATCTCGTTGCTTGTCTTGTTCCTTCTAAAGGCTTGTCATCGGCCTAACTCCCCAGGGTTAAGTACTCTCTTCTCAAGTTACGTGGTTTATCTATAAGGGTTCCTTCATCGTCATATGTAAACGACCATGCCTCCTCTCCTTCTTAAACTTTTGACTTTTGACGTCCTTTCAGACCCCCTCTAACCTACTTACTTCCTCATTTACTTCATTTACACTACCCTAGCTTCTCTTGAAGTCTAAGCTTTCCACTGCTCCTTGTCACTGTGTTGTAATAGTGTTGACCACTAAAACTAGTTGAGGGACTTCTCGTGGTACCTCTTCGTTTCTTGACTCGCCACTGCTTAGGGTCAAGGACCCTGAAATTCTTCCATCATTTTATCTGCTGACATCTAGTTCTTGTAGCTCTTTCTTCGGAGATTCACAGTTCTCCTATTTTTCTGTCTTAGCTTATTAGATTCTCCACATGTCTCCTGGTAGTAAAATCCTTGGACTACTCGCCCTCAACTCCTTCAAAATCCTCGAGGTATTTCATTACGATTGGCACCGCTTTGCTAGTGTTTAGAGTTGATGTCCTTGGACATTTGATTATACCTCCATAGGCCTTCTTAAGACGTTCCTCCTTTCTTTTCCTTGTACCTTGAGATTCTACTTAAGTTGGCCGTATTCCTTGCATCCTTCCTTTCATACCGACGATCGCCATACACCTCAGTCTCTTATTTAACGTCCCACGACTTGTTAACTAAATCGCCCCTAGCTTATTCTTAAACCAAGCGCACCTTCGTGCTACCATTCTGTCGTGTCGTACTGTCATAGCTATTCACCTTATTATGATTAGAGTAGACTGGAGATTCTACAAACTCTTAAAAGAAGAACATTGACTCATTTTTTCTTTCCTTTAAAAATAAATACCTTTAAAACTGAGATCGATATTCCAGTATTCCTTGGGGGACCAAGGAACAGAGGAAGACCGGCTCTGATACCAAAATGAACACCCTAACCCGGCCGGGTACTACTTTTACTAAAATGCCATTGACAAATAAAATACTCAGATCTTAAATTGCGGCGGGAAAAATTTTAATAAATAAAATACTGAACACACACTTGTAGTTCAAAGCAAAGCCCTAACACGTGGGTAAATTAAACTCAAACTTTTAAAATCTCAATATGATCTCCAGTCTATACTCATAATCATAAAATGTAAATAACTTAAACTCTACCTTGTTTTTTACTTGGATACGATCACTGGCACCTTCAGTGACGCTTGTATTATCCTCCTCTAGCCGGCTTGCCTTGAGCGGCTCTCTCGATCTCGCTGCTCTCTAACTGCTCCTCTAACTAGCTGTTATCAATCTGGTTCACGTTCATTCCTTTACTAAGTCCTGGTGAGTGAGATGGGGTCAGTCTATGCCCTTACGTTTTAATAATTCTAATACTTGGGTACTTTACTTAAGCAGTTAACTTTGACTAGTGGGAGTTGTTTGTACTTCCAATCTTAAAATCTTAACTCTTAAACTTTGAGGTAGTTGAAGTTACTCTCCTCTCTTAAAGCTCAAATCTTGACTGACACGGGGATCCCTCACTAGCTAGTCTAGTTGCCAACTCATACGTATGAGAAGCCATCCAGGATTTCCTTAAACTTAAACTTAGTTAGGGGAGTCGTAACGATTCATCCCCCTAACATCTTAAACTTATCCTGGTGGCTCTTCACCACGATTCTCAAGAGCATAACTACTGCTCATCTTAAAAGTCTTAAGAGCATAACTGCTGCTCTATCTCAAATGTCTCAAAAGGCAACGGACTGACGCTAGTTACTAAAAACACTTAAAACGACTTCACCTTCTTGAAGGTGAGTTACTTCTTAAAAAGAACTTGTTTCTTAAACTTTAACAATAACTCATTACACAACACTTTAAGGTAAATAGCACAAAATCACTCAAATCATAGCTCAAGCAAAGCACAAATAATCAATCATGAACATAATCAGGCAATGGTAACCAATTCACTAAAATACTTAAAATCATAATACTTAAAAGAAGGGTTAATACCCTCGTTTGGCACGAAGTATAGCGTTAGTGACATTTCTGGCCCAAGTTTTCAAATAAGACATCTCTGGCCCACTTTTCAAATTATCGGACGAATTTGGCCTGTGGGACGGGTTGACTGTCAGATTTGACGGTCAACAATGTTCTCCGTTGCTTACTCAGCATTGGACTCTGACGTGGCTTCTCCACGTCATTTATTTTTATTTCCCCTTTTATATCCATTTCTAATTCAGTAAGTTAAAAAAAAAAAAACTAAACTAAAGGGAAAGGTGGAGACCACACATCCCATCTCTTTCCATTCTCCCTTCTTCCCCCGATACCCCACCCCCTCGTTGTAGCCTTCTCCTAGCCATTTATCTACGGTCCGGCGCTTTCCCTCGTGAGAAGAAAAAAAATCCTCCTCTGCTTTAGTTGGGTGGAATTGAAGTAAGCAACGGGTTGTTGCTGTTTCTGGGAAATGGACTCACCGAGTGACAACCGAGTCAAATGCAGCAGCAGTCGTTTTCCGTCGAGACCCAGCGCCGACGATTCCCCCAAATC